AGCCCGGAGTCTAGACTCCCCCAGTGAGGGGCTGGGGTGTGGCTCAGCAGTGGTGCAACTCTCTTTGACAGCTGGGGTTGCTGCTAAGTACTAGAGCGCCTGCCTCGCTTGTATGAGGCCCTGGGTTCCACCTTTTACACAAAAATGGGCATGGTAGCACGAGCTTTTAATCCCAGAGTACGGGAGGCAGAGGCAGGTGAGATTCTGTGGGTGTGAGGTCAGCCTTATCTACGTTGGAAATTCCAAGCCAGCCAGAGCCGCATAGTGAGACTCTATCTCAACAAACAAACAAATAGATTTAAAATCAATGGGGGGCAGTGAGAAAAAAGTATCCCAGGCAAGCTTTGCTCTAGGGATATGGAGATGAGCTCCCACATGGCGTGAGGTCTTGGCCAAGTCAGCCCTTGTGCGATACTTTCCCGCCAGGGTCAGGACCCCTCAGCAGAGCCTCTCACCAGGACCTTTACCTCCCCTGGAAGGTAACATGGAACCGACCTCACCACTTGGCTTCCTCAGATTCCCTGAATTTGAAAGGGCAGTCATTGCCCACTAACCTAGCAGGGGCCTTCTCCAGCCAGGGGGGTGGAAGAGAAGGGACCGCAGTCTCTCTCGGACGGAAACAGAGTTGGAGTCCTATCTCAGTGCACAGGGATGTCCCAGGCATTGCTGCTGCTGCTGCTGAACCAAGGCTGAGGCACGCCAGCGGAGGGCGAGGGAGACACTGGGCCTAAGAATCGTCAAGTGCTTACCACACCGATTCAATGCAGCCATTTCTACTGCCATTAAGCTCAGAGCTTTCCCCACAGCTAGAGTGTCAACAGCCACCAGCCCAGGTTGTAGACAGTCGGGCTGGGGATTCAGAGAGGTATTCTTCCTGTTCCCAGGAGTTAACACTTCCAGCTCATAAGCGGACAGCCTCTTACCTGGAAAACACCCAGCCAACCACAGGCTCACCAAAGCCCAGCATCACAGGCACCTTCCACCTGCATCTGTCCACCCACCTGTCAAGGGCCCCTGGCCCAATCCTACCCACGGCTCTCTTTGCTCCCTCACCTGCTTCTCTTCCCGAGCCGTCTTCCACTCTTCAATGAGCAACTTCTTGAGGCGGAATCCTTCTCGGGTGACCTCGGCTAGCTGCTGCAGGGACTCTTTTTCCTTACGACCCTTCTCTCTGGGGTAAACACACAAAAGTACTATTGAAGACCCCTGGGACCCAGCAGCTTTGCCTTTTCCAGAAGGACACGGGTCACCTGCCAGCTCCAGCCACATCCCCCACGAGCCAATGCTGAGAAAGGCAAGACACAGAAAACCCTCTTCAGCCTGCCCCCCAGCTTCTTTTGACCACAGAGGACTCAGCTCTGTCCGAGAAAAGATGGACAGTATGCACAGCTTGCCTATCCTTAGGACTGCAGGACCGTCTGGGAAGTGATGAAGAACAGGGCTGGAAGCTGGCCCCCAAAGTGAGAAAGAGGAGGCAGAATACCACCCACAGGCTCAGGCTGTCGTGGTGACACACACCTTTAATCCTAGCACTTGGGAGGTAGATCTCTGTGAGTTTGAGACCAGCCTGGTCTATGTGGTGAGTAACAAGGCAGCCAAGGCCACATAGTAAGATCCTGTCTCATAACAAAACAAAGAAATCAAAAGCAAAACCAAGAACCTCAAGAGAGTCCAGTGTGGTGGCAAGCACCTGTAGTTCCAGCACTCTGGATATATAGGCAAGAAAAATAGCAATTCAGGGTTAAGACTGGAAAGCCAGCCAACTTTGAGGCTAGCCTGGGCTCCATGAGTCTCAAAAAGCAAAACAAAGCCCAACACAGCAGCACACAGATCTGATCCCTGCAACTGGAAGACAGAGGCAGAATGATTATCTCCAAGTTCAAGGCCACCCAAGCTTGGGAACCTGTTGCAAAAGGCAAATGAAGGGCTTGGAAAATGGCTCAGTAGAGAATGCATGAAAGCACAAAGGCTTGAGTTCAAATCCCAGCACCCACCAGAAAACATCTAGCTATGGCCACACACCCCTGGAACACTATGTGCGGTGGAGACAGGGGGACTGCAAGGGCTTGCTGGCGACCAGCCCAGCTCAAGCTTCTGGGAAAAACTCTATCTCAAGGAACAGAGCAGAGCTAAGACAGAAAATGCCCCAACACGGCCTCCTTGCTCCTGCGAGCACTTGTGTGCATACACTACACTTGCACACAGAGCACAGGACAGGAAAAGAGACTACAGATGAATCGGGTATCAAGAGTGTTGACCTAGCCAGAGCTCAAGTTCATTCTGCCTCCAAACACAAACCAACTCTCTTCCTGCACTTTGCTTGTCTATTTTCTTCCACGTTTTTTTCTTTGGCTGGCTGCTTTTCTCTGAGACGGGCTCTCTGGTACGCAAGGCTTCAGACTCACTGTGTAGCCACAGATGAGCGTGAACTTCTAATCCTCCTCCCCCATCCCAAGTGCAGTGACCACAACAAGCCTTTGCCCCCGTCTCCCATTTCTGAACAGGTAAAACAATCTTAACCACTTCTTGGCTACAGGGAACACTGGCAGTGTGGGGTTCCCAAGGGGCATGGCCACCGGCTTCACGGAAGAACAAAAGGAGTCACGGTGGCGTTAAGCCTGCAATCCTGGCACTCAGGACGTTAAGGAAGGAGATGCTCACTGGGCACACAGAGAGCCTATCTCTAAGAAACAAAGCAGGACGGCTGGGCGCGTGGCGCACGCCTGTGATCCCAGCACTCCGGGAAGCAGAGGCAGGCGGATCTCTCTGAGTTCGAGGCCAGCCTACTCTACAAAGTAAGTCCAAGATGGCCAAGGCTACACAGTGAAACCCTGTCTCGAAAAACCAGAAACAACAACAGCAAAGAAGGTGCTGGAGTGCCTCCACTTGCTGGTCTTCTAGAGGACCTGGGTCTGGCTCTTCCTCAAGCTCCAGGGAGGCAGACACCCTCTTCCAGCCTCTGTGGACATGCATGTGGGTAGCATATTCTCTCTCACTGGCTTCCTCTCAAACACACACACACACACACACACACACACACACACACACACACACCTGCCTCCCAAGTGCTAGGACTGAAGGTATGTGCCACGGTAATCTGCAAGTGAAGATGAATCCTAGAAAGCAAGGCTTAAAAAAAAAAAAAAGACAAGGACCCAGCCTGACTGCCAAGCAGAGCCTGGCAAGGTCCAGGGTACCCTGAGTACCTTGCTGCTCCCCACCCACCTGCAGGTGTTCTCACAGCCGGTGCCACTGTTGTACTCATCTGTGCCATCACAGCAATCTGAGGCAGAGGTAAGGGCCAAGATCAAACAGGGCAGGGCTTCCTCGGGCTGGCCTCCCTCCCCAAGTCCTGGGCGGATCCACACTTACCACATATCCCATCATTAACCCGGCTGGAGGGGATGTACAAGGGCTTGTAGCCAGTGTTGGTGCAGTGGAAGCTGCCATTGGGACAAGCGGCTGTGCCTGCACAAGAATGAACTTTGTCGAGTGTGCCCCAAGCCACACGGCTCCTCTACTCATGGGAAGCACCCAGAAAAAAAACTGGTGTAAATTGGGTGTGGTGGCGCGTGCCTGTGATCCCGGCACTTGGGAGATGAGAGCAGGAGGATGATCAGCAGTTCGGGTAATTCTCGGCTACACCGTGTGTTCAAAGCCAGCCTGGGCTACAGGAGATTGGATCTCAAGAAATTAAAAAAAAATAAAGCAGTGCGCAAAGGCAGAAGGGCTCACCAGGCTCATCTGAGCCATCCTTGCAGTCGCAGTAATCATCGTTCACCTGGTCGAACGGGATGGTGGCTGTGCCGTCCAAACACGTGAAAGGCTTAGATTCCTCATAGAAGTGATGGTCTGGTGAAAGAACACAAGACACTCCGTCCAGAGCTTCTTTAACGAATACCACCTCTGTCCTACCCACTCACCGGTACAAACGCTACGGGGAACTGAGGGGAAAGGCCGAAAATGGCTCTCCCGACCATATCGCTATGCACAAAGAGGACTCACTGCTGAGGGAGACTCCCCGGGGTCTCTTAACCTCTACCGCCCAACAGAGGGGTAGCAGCAGAAGCAGCAGCAGCATCCCGTCCCCAGCCGGCCGACACCGGAAGTGTGTTCTGCAGCAGGACGCAGGCTGGAGGAAGACAGGAGATGTCCTCTCACTGTCGGAAAGAAGGAAGCATCCAGTCACTGGGAGAGGGGCTGCTTATCCAAGACTGGCCTTACCAATGCTTCCCGGAAAAGAAGCTTCAACTGGAAGCCAGGACGTCCCTCCGCCCCGAGCCAGTGTAAGAGTCTCAGGGGACTCACGACCTAAGGGCTCTGTCGGGGCAAAGTGGGCAACTCCCGCCAACAGGATCAAAGGATTTACAATCCCTCCACACCACCCGCCCTGTTGCAACCTATAAGAAATCACGGTGCCTTCCTCCCATCGCTCCTTAATCACCTACACGACGCTGAATCAGTGGTCAAAAGCCACCACACCAGCTAGGCTCAGCAGCCACGGTTCCTGCAGCAGAAAGAAAACGGAACGCTCCCGCGTACGTCACTTCCGTTTTGCGCCACGAGCCCGGGGAAAGGCCGGGCTGGGACGCCATGTTGGGAGTGGCAAGAGTGCGTGTGCCAGAGCTGACGCGGCCATCTTGAGTAGGAACGTGGAGACTTAGCCTTAGAGAGAACAGATCGGAAGTCTAGCGCTTAATGGCGGCGCAATGCGCCTCCATATTGGGAGTGGCGGGTTTCGGGTCCTCGCCGCGAACACTCAGGGGGCACGCCAGCACGTGACCTCTGAAGCGACCCCGCCCCTTTGCCAAAGGATCGCGCGGCTCTTTTGCGGCGCCACCTTGTGGGACCGCCCCTCCGAATTGCGTCAGCTATTGAGAGCTGTGGAGTGTAACGCCGGTGGTTTCCTTGGGAACGCGGGCGGGGGAGGAGGTTACTTAGCAACCGGGAGATGCTAAGGGCCCCAGCCAAGCAGTTAAGAAAAGTGCATTCCCAGAGCCCAGGGAACCATCGCTGAGGATCTTGGACTTTAGAGGCCAAATTGTAGTTATTCTCCTACCTCTTAAAGGCTTCCTGACCTCAATCCAATCGCCATGACATCCCCCCTGTGCTGGGCAGCCGCGACTAGCACCGTGACTAGTCAGGAGCAAGTTTCATCGCCCTCTTCCAAAGTCAAGGGCAGTAAGACTCAGGGCCACCCGCGAGGCAAGATTTTGGGCCGGGCACAGGCCTGGCCTGTACACCGTATCAAGTCGGGAACTTCCTACCATTTGTTGAAAACTTCTGTACAGACACAGGTGCTTGAGTTACAAAGGAAAATCCAACTGTTAGGTAAGATGGCTGGAAAGGGCTCAGAAGGATCGGGGATCAACAGTGCCCACCCGGTGTTCTGACCAGGCACTGTGAGACAGAAGCCTCACCAGGCAGTGACCAACTTGTAGGTGCAAACACTCAAATTTGTTCGTACCTTTCTCCTTACCTTGCCTTTCACATCACATTATAATTTTAACCTCTGCTAATGTGCATATGGGTGGGTGAAAAGCATAGATTCTAGAGTTTGTGTGTCTTTTTTTTTAAGATTTATTTATTTATTATTTATACATTATTCTGCATGCATGTACACCTACATGCCAAAAGAGGGCACAGGATCTCGTTATAGATGGTTATGAGCCACCATGTGGTTGCTGGGAATTGAACTCAGGACCTTTGGTAGAGCAGCCAGTGCTCTTAACCTCTGAGCCATCTCTCCAGCCCAATATTTATTTATTGTTTGGTTGTGAGCTTCCCTGGGCAGAGTGCAGAACTCTCAGATGCCAGGACGAGGCACTGGATCCCTTGGCACTGACATTACAGGTGGTTAGGAGCCAACCAATATGGGTGCTTGAGACTAACCTTAGGCCCTCTGCAGCAAATGCTCTTAACCCCTGAGCCATCTCACCAACCCAGTTTTTATTTATTTATTAAATTATTATTTCTGAGACTTGGTCTCACCTAGCCCAGGCTGGCTCGAAGTCTAAGGAGATCTAGCTCCAACTCATGGTTTATAGGCATGTGCCACCATGCCTGCATTGTGAGTTGCTGGGGCTGGCACCCAGGGCCTTCTGCATGCTACTCAGCATTTTACTGGGCTGTGTCTCCGGCCCCAAGAGAGTTTGTTTCTCTGGAGTCTGAATGCTAGTTCTGCATAATAGCTGTTTGATCTTAGGGAACAAAGAGTCATCTGAGTGTACTGTTTTTCCCTCTATAAAATGGACATAATAACTCTGCACTGTAGTGCTTGGCAGTCATAAAATGTTCAAAACAATGCCTGTTGTTGAGCAGCAGAAAGTGAAAACTAGTGGCTTCCATGGAGGAGCTAAGGCTTCCTTTCCCAGAGGCCATTTAGCAATGCTGCAGGCTTTTCTGGTTGTCGTGTTGTTGAGTGCTGGAGAGCACTACTTCAGTTTATTAAGCACAGGACAGGAGAAGGCTTTACATGTTATAAGGCCTCATACAGTCCCCACAGCAAGGAGTTGTCAAATATTGATTGCGGGGACATTTGGAAAGCCCTTAGTGTACTTTTGCTCTTATTATTAAGAGGTAGTCTTAAACCAGTCAGCGGTGGTACACGTTTTAATCCCAGCACTCGAGAGGCAGAGGCAGGCAAATCTCTGAGTTTGAGGTGAGCCTGCTCTACAGAGTGAGTTCCAAGACAGCCAGGGATACATAGAGAAATCCTATCCTGGAAAAAAGTGAGAGAAAGAGAGAGGGGTGTGTGTCATCTTGCAGGCTGGGTGTGGTTGTGTGGTGGTGCATGCCTTTAATCTCAAAACAGAGACAGGCAGATCTCTGAACTTGAGGTCACTCTGGTCTACCTATGGAGTTCCAGCCATCAAGCACAGGCATGTGCACAGGTGTGTGTGTGTGTGTGTGTGTGTGTGTGTGTGTGTGTGTGTGTGTG